GAATTTCACTAAATTACATATTTGTAACCCACAATCATTCAAAGAATGTCACTAAATTACATATTTGTAACCCACAATTATTCAAAGAATGTCACTAAATTACATATTTGTAACCCACAATCATTCAAAGAATGTCACTAAATTACATATTTGTAACCCACAATCATTCAAAGAATGTCATTAAATTACATATTTGTAACCCACAATCATTCAAAGAATGTCACTAAATTACATATTTGTAAGCCACAATCATTTAAAGAATGTCACTAAATTTCATATTTATAACCCACAATCATTCAAAGATTGTCACTAAATTACATATTTGTAACCCACAATCATTCAAAGAATGTCACTAAATTACATATTTATAAGCCACAATCATTCAAAGAATGTCACTAAATTACATATTTGTAACCCACAATCCTTCAAAGAATGTCACTAAATTATATATTTGTGAGCCACAATCATTTAAAGAATGTCACTAAATAGACATATTTGTAACCCACAATCATTCAAAAAATGTCACTAAATTACATATTTGTAACCCACAATCATTCAAAGAATGTCACTAAATTACATATTTCTAAGCCACAATCATTCAAAGATTGTCACTACAACATAATGGTTCTCTGCGCTCATTATTATTGGCAAGCATTGCCTTGTGGGATGCAATTTTTTAGTTATTTCAAAGCCCCACCCTGGTGTTTTGGGGGGCCCTAATATAACCCATCGGTTAAAAGGGGTTTCCAAGGATTATCCTCATCCGCATGGTGGCACTCTGTGTCACCGGATGTTTATCGCTCTGTGTGATGTCCTGGTGGGGTATAACTTACTTACTCATTAAAATGGCATTCGATCTCACTAACAAGCTAACTATAAACACTTAAGAAATGTCGCTAATTGACATTTGTATCTACCTGGGGTAGGAGCCTGTTCTACTACTAGGCGCGTCCACCAGGTGACCGTGGACCAAAAGAGGTGATGGTCATTAAGAGGAGGCGAGTTAGTTGGTGGGACAGCTAATTCTATAAAATACCTCAAAACTCTACGACATGGCCATCGGCGGGTAACAGGCGCCATAACCTTCCCCCCCCCTCCCCCCCCCCCTGCCTTGCAGGGTAAGTCTCTTTAGACAAAGGCTATTGGAGTCAAACCATATAGAAACCGGAGGAAGGTAAGGGGAAACCCCACCGCTGTACTATCCCAAGAAAATCATGCCTCAAAATAATACGTATCAGCCAAAAAGAGCAACCAAGAGGTTTTGAAAGAGGCAGGAGCCCGAAGACAACTTATCACAGACATCAGAAGGAGACAGTCATCATTTTTCGGCCATGTTATGAGAAGAGGGAAAATAGAACATGTTGTGACCACTGGAAAGATCTGTGGAAGGAGAGATAGAGGAAGACAACGAGAGAAGATGCTTGACGGTCTTCTTGCATGGCATGGAGGTGTGTCGGCACACGAACTGATACATGCTGCAGGAGATCGCAGATTATGGAGAGGCATGATCGCCCACGCCAGTCGGCAAGGCACCTGATGATGATGATGACGATGATGATCTAGAATCACTCTAACAATGTCAGTTAATTGGAAAAAAAAATGTGTTACCCACTAGCATTCAAAGAATGCCATTCAATCTGACTTCTTAACTGACAGCTGTCGAAGATTCTGATCAAAAACGAGTTGTGTTACATGAGGTCAGTCCCTGAAACAGCGACTACCTATCTACACTAACAGTAAAGGACCCTTTTCCACGCCTTTAGGCCTGAAGGCTAGACCTATATTTTATAAACCAATTGGCACAATAGGGGTGATGTGGTCAGCATCACGCCGGCTGCCTTTACTTTCAGGGACTGTACCCCGTACCCACTCAAGGCTGGGTCGACCTGGAAGCCAAAGTCATTTTTGAAAAAAGTCCGGCTCCGCAAGGGAGCGAACCCACCACCTTCATATACGCAGGCGAGCGTCTAGCCGCTCCGCCACGGGGACTAAGTCAAAGAATGTCATTATATAATCCCACACCTAAATGCTCACACAGTTATACAGAGTCATCGAGGACCATTGTCTGGATTTTAAACTGTTGTCATAAAAGTAGTATTTAACTGATATACAAGTGTGACCTCTTCAAATGTTAAAAAATGTTTCAAGTTATGTGTGCCTTTGTATGACCTGAGATTTCAAACAACGCCGATTAAACAAGGAACATCCAGTACCCTAAAGAAAGGGTCGCCGCAACAATTGCAACTTTGAATACGATCCAAAGAATTGCAAGGAGATTGAATACATCCCCAGAGCTTCATCTGGCACTCATATCGAAGTGTATTTCTTCTTCTTAAAGTCCATGCCGTATGGTGTTGGTAGTCATGTCTATCCACAACCTTCTGTCTCGTGTAATTTCAATCAATTCTGACACAGATTTTCCTCCATGCCATGATGTCAAACTGTCCAACATCTTTTCTACTGTTCTTCCTCTGCCTCTCCTCCTGCTTTTCTACTGTCACGATGTACTCCAGTTTTCTTCTTCTCATCACATGACCAAAAATGTACATTGTCTCTTTCTAATGTGGACAAGCAGTTCTCTTTGTAAATAAGTACTGGGTATTTCTAAATATTTTAATCCTTTTGAACAGTTTAAAAAGAAATGCCTATAAATCAATTACATTTTCATTCTATAATATAATAATAGTTTAAAATTCCAGCAGTCGTTCTTAATGACCACGCATAAGGCCAGATCTTTGCAGGTGAAATGAGACCCCTAGCCTATACACCCTTCACTCATTCCATTGTATACCTCCTGGATCCTATCTGAAAGTTTTCCCATCAAAAGCCAAATCTAGATGTCAAAACGGGGCAAAGACTAGATAGCCCATTCAGCATCCAGAGAAAGGATCATTCTTGCTCCCGTAAAGACTATATTAGCTTAATGTAGTTCCCATGTGGGTAATGCTGATGGAATAAAGCTTGTAAATATAACAGTAAATTACTTGTCACGCGATTTGTAAATGGTAACTTGACTCATTTCGCCATAATGGTTTTTTTTTAAATTTTATTTTATTTTATACATATAACACCACCGCTCCCCACCCCCCCCCCCCCACCACACACACGTGCGCGCAAACACACACACACACACCCACACACACACGCACACACACACGCACACCCACACACACACGCACAAACACACCCACACACACACGCACACGAACAGGAGGTCTCGAAGAAAATGATTGGATACGAAAATGTTTGTTGTCAGTGTTGAATTTAAAATTAAGAATCGACATCACAGCACTCAGGACACTCCCATAAGCGCTGCGTCCCCATCTTTAGCAGTCAGTGAAGAGTTCCAATTTCGATGGTACCAGTAACTGTATAGTTGTATAATATCTGTCTCAACTTTTCCTTGAGTGTTGAGCGTCGGTCAGATAACATTGGTCAGACGGCAATGACCTGCGCCTTCTCCCTGTTCACTTGTTCCCAAAGGATCCTCACAACATCTAGCTTATCATATATCACTTCACCGTCACGTGATGCAGAACCGGCCGGTCTATTTGCCTGCTCATTTCTCAACACACTGGAGTTACGGAGTGCGTGCTGTGTGCTTGATACCATCTTCATGTTTGTTGTCAACGAGAATAATCAATGCTCAACACGCAAAGTTCGGTAGAAGTGTTTGGAATCGCTTCCACGACTTGAGATCTAGTAGGAATATAGTCCCAGACCCGCACTTTATAGCCTCATCAACATTAGGTCGTCGGTTCAAATCCTGACGTAGCCGGACTATTTTCAAAAAATGTATGACTTCCACGTCGACCCAACCTTGAATGGGTACCTGGTATAAGTCATGGGAAGTAAAGGCGGCCGGCGTGATGCTTACTACATCACCCATCAACTGCTGACTGGTCTATGGAAAAAAAAGTCATTTACTTTTTAACCATACGTCATATGAGCCTGTAGAGTGAGAGTGGTCCTTAACGTTTTTATTTTATTTTCAAACTGGACCTTTCTAGGGTTCTTAAATCATTTTAAACAATACAACTATAATTGTAACTATCGATCACCCAACAAGCAGAAGACACACACAAAAAACTCTTAACAAGAAGGAAAATTCATGTAGGGATCATGCACAGACAGGGGTATTCAGATCATCAGTAGAGGTCGACAAGGGTTTCGGTCCGTCTATCTCTGAAACAATTTCCTAGGGCAGGCCGACCCTTGTCATGACTCTCGGGCTTCAGACCTCTCGTGCTGCCCTTGTGACAAGCGTAGCGGTTAGATGCTAGCCTGCGGATTTGAAGGTTGGGGGTTTGGGTCCTGGTGGAGCTGGACTTTAAAAAAATGACATTGGCTCCCAGGTCGACCCAGCCTTAAGTGGGTACCAGGTGCAGTCCTGGGAAGTGAAGGCGGGCCGGCATTATGTTGACCTCATCACCCACCGAAAGCCGATTGGTCTGTAAAATATAGTTCCATTCCTATAGGCCCAATACGTCTGAAGACGTGGAAAAGGGTCCTTTGTTTTACTTTACTTGTGACAAACAAACGAGACAAGGTTATAGCTACTTCTGCTGAGGTTGTGGTGATCGCAGATAGCGCATGGTAGGATAGCCAGACTCTGTTCCAGAAGGTGACCGTGGTCTGGAGTGAAACACATCAGCCCCTGACACACGCTTCGTCTTGAACCACAGTCATCACCATGAAGCAGGTCCTTTGCAGAACGTCGCTCCCATCACGGTCTGTCCAAAAGAAACTCTGTCTCTTGTTAGCTCTCTCGTGTATTTCGTGTACTTTCATATTCGAGGAGTCACTTCTATCATGCTCCCATCTTCGTGCTGGTCAGCGCCTGCCCCTCCTTCCTCGTAACATGCCTTCTGCTATAATCTTTTATTCTATCCGCCACAACGCCTGATATGACCACAATATTTCAACTTCAAACCACAATAACATTTATTATTATGACAATTAAATACTTCAAGGACATCCCGTACACATAATTCACTTACCGGGGATTTCTACTGAGGGTCGTTTTGCCGTGGGAGAAGTCGGCTCCGATCTTCCATATGTCGGGGTGTAGTCCAAAGATCGATATTCCCCTTTCCTAAAGCCGCTTCTGTGTTTTGGTCCGTATGGTGAAGCAGGCACGGTGAACGGAATTTGCTTAAGGCTCGAAGGAAAAACAATCAGAGATAAGTATCGCCTGAACACCGGTTTCTCCACCTGGCTGGAGTTGAAAGTTAATGTAGATTGAGCCGTCTTAGTTAGAGGTCTTGGCTTGATGGGAATGGCTGAGAAAAACTTGGGTAGAGCTGACGTGGCTGTTGGGGTCGTGGTCGGTGTGCTCTTGGGAGAGGAGGAATGTGATGAAGCAGAAGAGGATGTTGAAGATGGCCTGGTCTTGGAGGTGCTCCGGTGTTTTGGATCAATTGGTGGTTTTCTGGAACATCTGAAGTGAGCAAAGTCCAGCAGTCCATTGCGGTGACTGTCGGGTGGTGAGACGGGACTGGTTACGGATTGTGTATTGCGTGTTTCGGAAAAAGAAACGGAGTGGTGAGGGATTGTACGATGGTTGTTGAATACTGCGTTGCTGATATTGTTGTTGTGGATGGACGACATGGACGCCGATGAGCTGGTCTTCTGATCGCCAGACTTGGACTTGTCTTCGCTGTCCAGTGTGACACATCTGCGAAGCCTCGCAAACGAGAAGATGGGCACGCTGTGTGTTGAAGCAAACACGCAGTTTTGCTCATCCATGTTGAAAACACCAGAATATACCTGTGTAGTTATTTACGATTATAACAATGTGAACTCTGCGGGTTAGGTATTGTAGACGCAGTTTCGCAAATCTGACATAGCGAGTTCGAAGTCAGCTGTGTTTACCAGTTAGCAGACAGCTTTCCTGTTTTGTTTTTTTTTGACAACGTAATAAAAAGCGTATCCTTTACAAACTACTGAATGTAAAATTGATTAGTAAAACCATAAACAGCACACACAAAATATGCTGGGGGTGTGTTTGCAATCTCTTGTAGAAAAGCGCAACTGTCTTTAAGTCATTACAAAGAAACTTACGCGGACGGAAGAACTTCCATCACACGCTTATAACCAAATTAGGTTTGTAGGATATTTGTAAACTGGATAAGACATAGTGTCTTTATATGTGTAAGATTTACGTACAGACAACATCTAGAATATCTGTAAAATTTGAACAGTTCCGAATTGCTTGCCCTTAAATGTCTCTAAAATAAAAACGTTTTTATACTGTTTGCTGTATGCTGTAAAATTGTAAATGTCGTGTATTGTTCGTTTGAAATTTCGTTAAAATTAAAATAAGCATTTACCGGTTTACACAAATACCTGTATTAATAACAGACACGTATTATTTTTCCGAGGAAAAAAATCTTTCGCGTGGAAACTAACATAGAAAGCTGATCATAAAAATGAAATTGCTAACCGAGAAATACATGTTTTCTTTCCAGATCTAAGCATTACGTACGTAATATTTTTAAAAGTAACAAGAAAGGTTTACAGCGACTCATAAATTAAATCATTTTTCATATTTACTTAACACCATTAAAATCTAAAATCCCATAATGATGTGTTATTGGAGTTAATTCCTCTAAACTGTACTTAAACTTCTCTCTCTGTCTGTCTCTCTCTCTCTCTCTCTCTCTCTCTCTCTCTCTCTCTCTCTCTCTCTCTCTCGTTCTCTCTCTCTCTCTCTCTCGTTCTCTCTCTGTCTCTCTCTGTCTCTCTCTCTCTCGTTCTCTCTCTCTCTCTCTCTCGTTCTCTCTCTCTCTCTCTCTCTCTCTCTCTCTCTCTCTCTCTCTCTCTCATAGACCGCTGCCCTTCTGACCAGTTTACAATCGTCACTTCCCTTCGTACTCCATTAATGATCGCATAAGAGTATCATACAAGTTGGTCCACTGGTCAGCCAAAAGTGAACGTGGTGAAACTGTTAACTCGACTTATTTAATTAAGTAAACAAAGTTAATTAGATTACTGGTGACAGGTAGAGAGAGTTAACTCGACTTCAGTTTTTAGTCTTTAGTAGAATCCTGACCTATCTCTGGTAGAAACACTTAAACTCGACTTTTTATCTCTGGTTGAAACCATTACCTCGACTTAATTTCTCGGGTAGAAGCGGCCACTTCGACTTATTTTCTCGGGTAGAAGCAGTCACTTCAACTTGCTATCTCAGTAATACATTTAACTCCATTTATTATCTCTTGTAGAACAAGTGAACTTGATTTGTTATCTCGGTTGGAAAGATATAACTCTGCTTGTTATTTGGGGTAGAAACTCATAAACATATTTGATATATTGGGTAGAAACAATTAACTCGACTTCTTATCTCGGGTAGAAACAGGGAATGTGTATGTAGTGTATAAATCCGATACCTATACATCTTATTCCAATCAGGAACGGTTAACAGGACTTCTTATCCAGAGTAGGAATTGTTTACTTAACTTCTTATCTCGAGCAGAAACAGTTAACCCGACTTCTCATCTCGGGTAGAAACAATTAACTCGACTTCTTATCTCGGGTAGAAACAATTAACTCGACTTCTTATCTCGGGTAGAAATAGGGAATGTGTATCTAGTGTATAAAACCGCTACCTATACATCTTATTCCAGTCAGAAACGGTTAACACTTCTTATCCAGAGTAGGAATTGTTAACTCCTTATCTCGAGCAGAAATAGTTAACTCTAGTTTTTCTACCGAGAATAAATAAACTTGTCTGCTTATCCTGAGCAGAAAGAGTTACTCGACTTCTGATCCCCAGCAGAAATAGTTACTCCACGTCTGATCCCCAGCAGAAATAGTTACTCCACGTCTGATCCCCAGCAGAAATAGTTACTCCACGTTTAATCCCCAGCAGATATAGTTAAACTCGACTTCAGATCCGTTGTAACAGTGAACTTGTCTTGTAATCTCATGTAAACCTCTTATAGACGGCAGATCTTCAGTGGTGCTATCTGGAGAGCAAATGTTATATCAACAGAGAGTGACGCCCTTCTAAAACATATCACAGGCATGACAGACAATAGGTATCCTGTCTGAATCAGGCAACAAGAATGATGCTAGCCTGCTGTGTGAAGGCTGGTCTGTCAACCCTCCCTACTTGTCAGGTGGCGGGCAGCACTCTCACTTAAGAATGCACGTGCGGTTTCTCTTGTGATCGATTCACCACCAGCCTAGCAGTGACAACACTGGCTTTGGTGCGGTTTCCGGTAGTAAACCTTTGCAAGGATTTACGAAGGCTCGGATAATCATTCTTTGTAACTTGGAACTCATCGCTGACCGTTAAAATTAAGGCACCGCTAAAATCACCATTTCCCAGAAATGTACAATGATAAGAAGTCAATAGTAAAGTCGCAGTTTGAAGACGCAGTACTGATTTGAAATCTCCAACCAGACATTTGTTAAATGTTGTTGTTGTTTTTTTTAGTATCCAGAAGCCATGAGTTGTTAACCCTTAGGCTTGGTATTATGGATATCGCAACCTTTCGGCCTTGATTCCATTTTAAATACCGTAAATCTGGGAGAAAATTCCGTCTCGCCCTTTCCTTGTGTGTTGAGAGCCGGCTAGATCCCCTTGTAACTACTCGCAGCGCCATTCTCCCCAGATCGTAATGATCTGTCTGTGCCTCCGCACTGTTCAATCGTTCCCAAATAGCCCTCACAACATCTAGCTTGTCATACATCAGCCTGGGTAGAACCGGCCAGTTTATATGCCTGCTCCCTTCCCGACACACCGGCATATCCTGAAGAAAATATCCAAAAGACGCTAACTACCCGAACCTCTGAAGTGATGCTTGCCACTCTGCACGCAGCATGCCTGTCTCCACCTTTCTCAACATGATCAGCGAGTCAGTTACAATCAAAGCATGTGTGCGCAGCTGATTCTTAAGCAAGCGGAAGGCAGCAGTGACTGCGTCCTCCACCTGCTTTCTCAGACTAGACGTTGTGATATCATATGCCAGGCTTTGCTGCACCAAGCGACGTCCATTCCCTTTTTTATGAACTAACATGCAATTCCTCTGCCCCTCAACACAGAGCCATCTATCTGTATAGATAATAACGTCACTTGGGCGGGAATTGTCAGGAATCATTTGTTGAACTTCTGCTATTTAGACTTTTTTGTTAAGGTTTTGTCTACCCTATGAGTGTCGACTGTTTAAATTTGGCAAACTGAAATCGTAAAATTGTTTAATAAAACCGCAAACAACTAAACAATTTTAGATTAGTGTTCGAACTCCTGTGAATGGGTCAAAATTTACAACAACAAAAAAAAAAAGAAATTAATGAGCCCTATTGCTGCATCCTTGGCTCAGGCGTTGCGAGTCCGACTCGTAATTCCAACGTACCGAGATCAAAACCCACCGCTGGCTGCGTCGATTTGTTTGTCATGGTACGGGGCGTCGCAGGTCGACCCAGCCTAAAGTGGGTAGCAGGATGTGTGTCGTGGGGTAGTAAAGACGGCCGGCGTAAAGCTGACCACATTACCCACCTAGTGCCAATTGGTCTGTGAAAATCCTATCTGCCCGATATGCCTAAGGCGTGAAAAGGGATCCTTACTTGACTTTTACTAATGAGCCCTTTTAGCGCCAGTGAACTGGACTCATGTCCTGATGGAGCCAGACAGTGTTCAAAAATGACTTTTCTTCAAGGTCATCCCAGCTTTGAGTAGGTACCAGGTATAGTCCTGGGAAGTAAAAGTGACCGGTTTGATGTGGGCCACATCACCTACCGAGTATTGATTGGTGTATAAAATACAGGTCAATCTCTGTTCGCCGTGAGGGTGTGGAAACGGGTCATATACTTTACTTTTGGTCCAGTGGTCCATGATGCATAAACTCATAATTTTATAGAGTACTAGGTGCAATAGGGGGGCCGCTGCGGTGTAGCGGCTAGATGCCAGTAACGGTCCTGAAGGTCGTGGATTCAAATCCACATCAAGCTGGTTTTTGCCAAAGAATTTCTTCGACTGTTAGTTCGACTACGCCTAAAGCGCATTTTGCAATTGCGAAGCACGTTCATAACGTCTAAGCTTACAGGCGCCTACATTTTTTTTTTAAAGCCGCAATCAATATCTTGTGGCCATCTTCACTCACCATACCCTTATGGTTACTAAAAGGTAAAGATGTGAACCAGCCTGGGCCAAATTTTAAGTTTAAAATTTACCTGAAATATTGCAGGATCCTCGCCGGTGCTACAGAGCCCGTGAACTACGCTTGAGTTAGAAGTAGAACGGAGCACTTATGGGTTACTACCCTTGTGCCATGATGTTGATCTGTTGTTCAAACTTCAGTGTTGTCTCTGCTCTGCGGATTTAATTATGTGTTAAGCTGTATTTTACAACTAATGTTAAGCATTAGGTTGTCTCAGGCAGCATAAGCGTTCAGCTGGAGAGCCTGTGGAATCGATGAGGGAAATTTAACAAGTGCAGCCGAGACTGCACTAATGTCAGTGTGTGTGTGCAGAAGTTGGTTATTATACAGCAATGTGACTGGCGATATTTGGGATGTTGATGTGGAGTAAAAATTAGTGTGATAAATTGTGCTGAAGCAAACCGCAAAAGGTCGACAGAACGTCATGTGGACGCACCACCGACGGAAAAAGCATGAGCTTTCAAAGATACCTGCAGGATATATTTTTTCTTTAGAAGGAACAAGGGAAATGTGCACATCATGTGGGGTGGGAGGGGGTGGGGGGTCGTAAACCGGCTGTTATGAATTGTAAATGGGAGTAAG